GCAGAAGGAGGGGTACAGGATGCTGGGGGGGGGGTGCAGGGGGTGCTGAGTAGGGTGCAGGAGGTGCTGAGGGTGGTGTGAGGTGCGGGGGGTACTGTGAAGTGTGCGAGGGGCGGGTACAGGGCAGGTAGAGTGCCAAGCTGGCACGGTGCAGGGGCTGCGGGGTCTGCAGGGGATGTGGGAAATACGGGGTGAAGAGGGTACAGGGGGTGCGGGGGGTGAGCAGGGGGGTGCGGGGGGTGCAGGGGATGCGGGTCCCCGTCCCCGCATTCCGGCGCTGCCGAAAGCCGCTGCTGCCATCTGCTGTCACCCAGGTGGGTCCGGCCCCGCTCAGCGCCGGGTGAGGCGAGGGGCACGGTCGGGACCCCACAACATCCCACCCGTGCCCCCACGAGGGGACCCGCACCCCGGCTCCGAGCGGGGTCCTGCCCCAGGGGGCGGGATGGACACGAGGGGACTGAGGTCCCTCAGCTTGGAGTCCCCCGATTCGGAGCTCCCCGGTTCAGAAGCCCCCCCAGCCCAGACCACCCCGAAACCGCTGCCCCGGTTGCCGCTACCCCCCCTCCGCGTCCCCGAGGGTCCTCGGTCACCCCGTGAGATGGGGCGAGAGGCCACGAGAGGGAGCCCCGGGCTCGCGCGTGGCCGTGGCACTGGTGGCAGCGGTGACGGGTGGTGGCACTGGTGACACTGAGAGCACTGATAGCAGTAGTGGCACTGGTGGCTCTGGTGATAATGGTGGCACTGGTGGCACTGATGGCAGTGGTGATGGCGTTTTTTCCCTCTGTTCCTTGAGAAGGGCAGGGAGACAAGGGCCAAGGCTGCGTCCAGCCCCCCTCTGGGTGCCCTCCCCCTTGTCCCAGGGACAGACCCCCCCCTTCCCACCCATTCCTGAATCAGCGGGGCTGTGACATCCCTGGGATCGTGGCATCACCTCCACGACCCTCACTCCCCGTGTTGGGGCACAGCAGGGATGAGCCACAGCCCCCAGCCAGCCCTGGGCATGGCCTGACCCCCCCAGCAGGAGGGGTCCAGCCAGGGTCCCAAACTGCTGGGCAGGATGAGCTGGGGCAGAGCCTGACCATGGGCTGTCCCCAGTACGGCCCGGGGAGCACCGTGACCCCCCCGGGCGGGATCAACTGGGACAGAGCCCGGCCGTGGGCTGTCCCTGGCTCGGGCAGGTGACAAACTCTGTGACCGTCTGGGCACGGTGACAAACTGCCTCCACGGCGGGGAAACCCTTTGAGGTCTTGCACTTGCACAGCCGCTGCCAGGGGAGGTGGCACAGAAAACCGGGCACCACGATGCCCCCAGCACCCCAACACCGCCCCTCCCACAGCCATTTCTGGAGCTGGGGACACACCTGTGCCCAAACTGCCCCCAAACACCCCCCAGCCCTGTGTGCCGGCGCTGCCGAGCACAGTGTCCAGGTGCCAACGCCCCAAGGGGACAAGGACACACGTCCCCAAGAGCCCCGACCTTGGCTGCCCGGGCGAGGTGAGCTGTACGTGCTGCAGGGCAGCACCCCGGGCGCGGCACGTGGGGACGAGGGGATTTGGGGCCGCGGGGACACGGGGATGGAGCCACCCCGTTATGAAACGTTACGAAACCTCCCCCCCCCCATCCCCGCCGTGCTCAGGCAAGATTTAGCGAGAGAGAGAGTGGCTCCTGATCCAGATGAGATCGGGCATCACAAAGGGCTTTGTATTCCAGGAAGCCTATTAGAGATTTAAATTATACAAATGGGCTTTTTACCAAAGATCCTCATTATCTGGTCGTTTGCTTTTAATCCTCGGCTCTTCCCTCAGCCCCTGCCCCATGCCCTGCTCCTCTTACCTTCCCTGTGCCCTCCCTGGGGCCATGCACAGTGTGGGGACAGGGGCAAGTTCTGGGGTCAGTGTGGGCCCATGGGGAGGGGTCTGTGGGGTATCAGACCCTGGTTGGGTTCCTCAGTACAACGAGGGGCTGAGCCTCTCTGGCTTTCCCCTCTCCCCCCCCCAGTTCATCCCAGTACCCCAGCAGGCTGCAGGGATGGTGCCTGTTGGTCTGTTTAGAACCAAACCTCCTTAGGGCACATTCACAGGACACACCTGGGCTCCTCCTGTGCCACCCTTGGCTCTGTGGGATCCCGGGAGGATGCTCCTGAGGGCACTTGGGGCTGATGAGGCTGATGCTGGACCCCAGATCACCAAGCCCTGGACACCCTGGGCACCATCGACCCCCATCAGCTTGAGGACCATATCCAGGGCCATGACAAGGCCAGAACATGCTGCCCTGCCCGCAGGGACATGGTGATGTCCCTCCCGAGGCGTCCCCTGCAGCCCCATCCCAACCTGCTCTGCTGCAGTGAAGCCTCAGGGGCTTCATGGCTGCTATGACAACGCAGGAAATTCCCACAGAAATCCCTGAGAGGAGGAGGAGGAGGAGGAGAAGGGGAAGGAGGAGGAGAAGAAGGAGAAGGAGGAAGAAGGAAGAGGAGGGGGAATCTCCCAGCCAGCACCCCACATCTCTCCCTGCCAGCTTTGGGAAGGTGTCCCAACCGTGCTTGTGGCGTTTTCAGTGTCCTCCTTGTAGCACCACAGGGTTGGGGCCAGCAGGAGCCACCCTGGGCCAGCCCTGCTCCATGCCCTGGCACCCCCAGGAGACGGTCCTGCTTCCCAAGACACGGCTGATTCCTGGCAGCACGAGCTGTGGTGCCCAGCCCCATGGCAAGGGAGGGGGCTGTGTACCATAAAACCCCAAGGTTTTGGGGTGGAGGGTGTGGGAGCCAAGGGAGGATGGGCTGGGGGTTGTTTGGCCCCAGTCCCAGGGACCCTGCAATCACTCAGTGTCTGATGTCCCTGCCTGCGCCCCCCACACCCGCATTACCCTCCCTCTCCCTCCCACAATCCGTTCCAGCACGGGGATTAGGTGGGTTTAGGGTCGGGTTTGAGTCGGAAATGGGATGCTTTCAAATCAGCCTGCGTCAGTTGGGCCTCTGTCACTCATGCCCAAGGGGATTAAAATAGATATGAGGATTATTGGAGGGGAGATGACACCCCCCACCTTGGGGGCCCCCACTCTTCCCCTGCCCTCAGCACCACAGGGTGTGGGGTGTCCAGCTCCAGCCCCCTGGGATATCTCCCTAAGGGAACAAATTTCTCCCTTTTTCTCACCTTTCTGCTCATCCCAAGTCCCCATATCCCATCCCACACCTCTCCAAACATCCTTCTTGCATAGGGTGGGAAGAGGCACCACTGCAGCAGCTTCCCATTCCCATTTCCCTTGTTTCCAGCCCAGTGCCAGTCCCAAAACACTCCTTGGGCTTGATGCTGGTGCTGCAAGAGAACCTGGACCCCACGGAGGGTTCCCAGCCTTGCACAACCACCGTCCCCTCGGGTGGGTTGGGGCACAGGCCCAGTTGCTGGAACAGAATCATGGAATCATGGAATCTTCAGTGTGGAGGGAACTGACAAGGGGATGGCAGTGCCCAGGAGGAGGCTCAGCACCCAAAGGTGCAGCTGAAAGGCAGGAAGGAGCCTGTAAAGGTCCCTGGTCCTCCAGAGTCCTCCAGCGAAAGGCAGGGCAGCAGTACCACTACAAGGCACAAAATAGGGGGGAAAAACCACAATGAGAGACCAATATTGCCTTTATTAGTAGCAATTACTCATTCCTGTGGCACATCAAGGTTCCTGTGGTGCTCAGGGCCTGGCCTGGGCCTGTTGTCAACCTGGCAGAGGTTTGGTCAAGCACTGCCCACCAGTGCTCTGAAATACACCTCTGGATTTTGGATCTTTTATCAGGACTGGTCCCTGTCTCCTGCCCTGCTTCAGATTGGCATTTTGGGCCTGGAGGTGCCAGTTTTCCCCTCCTTGACGGGCACCTGCAGCCCCTCAGCCTCACTGATCATGGAATCATCACTTAAAGTTCCACTCCCCTGCCATGGGACACCTCCCACTAGACCAAGTTGCTCCAAGCCCCGTCCAACCTGCCTTGGATACTTTCAGGGATGGGGCAGCCACACCTTCTCAGTGCCCAGCAGATTTTGGAGTGAATTATCCCCATCCTGAGTCCTTCCCCACAGCTCCCCACGCTGGAACAGCTGCCCCAGCCCCTTCCCTCTTTCCCCCAGCCCAGCGGCCGTGGGTTTAATCACTTTATGTGTGTTTGTTTGTGTAATTCCAAGGAGAGTGCCTCTTCCTCCCATCTGCCCCTGCCATCTGCTCCCCACGGCATTGTCAAGTGATCCCAGGCTTTGAAAATGGAGGGAGCTGGTGCAGGGACACGGGAAAACCTGCTGGGAACGGCACATCCTTATAGAGAGCATCTGTCTCCACTGGAGCCTTTTCCTGGTGCCAAAAGCCTCTTTGCTTCAGCCTCTGGAGTGACTGGGGAGGATTTCATACCCTCACTCGAGTCCTGGAGACACTGAACCCAAAATGTCCCTTTCTAGCCCCAAAACGCCTGGCTTGGCACCTTCTTGGGCCAGCAGAGACACAGTGTGCCCCAGTGCTCCCAGTATTCCCATTGCACCAAGACCTGCCAGTCCACCCAGGTGCTCCCAGTGCTCCCACTATCTGAAGAGCTGTCAGAGCCCCCAGTGCTCTGAGTTCTCCCAGTGTCTGAAGACCTTACAGTCCACCCAGTGCCCTCAGTGCTCCCACTGGTCCTTCCCAGTGTTCCCGTTGCCCCAAGACCTCCCAGTGCTCCCAGCGTTCCCATTCCCTGTGTTCCCAAAGCCCCCCAGCCCTTGCCAGTGCAACAGGGGTCCCCCATTTCACCCCAGACCCTCCTTGGGGGGACCAGGGGCTGCACCCCGAGCTTCCCTTCCATGGGCCGGTGTCTCGGGGGGGGGGTGTGTGCGTGGGGTCCCGGGGCGGGTGGGGGATGGTGGGGAGGGGATGCTGCGGGTGCCGCCGGTGCCCCCCGGTGCCGATGCCCCCGCTGTCAGTGCCCCCGGTGCCGGTGCCCCCGGTGCCGGTGCCCCCCCGCCGCCCAGCACTGCAGCGGGCGCTCCCGGCGGGCGCTCCCGGGCTGCGTTGGCGCACGGCGGCGGCGGCGGCGGCTGCTCTCCGGGCAGGTAGGAGGTGGTGAGGATGGGGAGAACCCGGGAGGGGACAGGCACACACGTCCTGGGGACACTGGGGAGCCGGGGAGCCCGGGGCACCCATACGGACCCAGCCCCGGGCACGTCCCTTCCCGCCGGCGGCTGCAGAGCCGCTCCCGCCCCAGGGCATCTTTCGGGGGTGTCCTGTGTCCCCCTCGGTCCCCAGCGCGCCTTTTGGGGGTGCCTGGTAATCCCCCTCCTCCGAGGGGACCTTTCCCTGGGTGTGTCCCGGCAACCCCCCTTCTCTCCGGGGTGTCCGGTTTGGGGAGAACCCCCTGTAGCCCCCCCACGCCACCGGAGAGTCTTCCCTGGGGGTGCTCAGCCACCCTGCCGGAGGTATCCGCTTTGGGGTGGTCCTTGCAGACCCTTCTCAGGGCGCTGAGCCCCCCGCGGGTTCCCCTCCCAGAGGCGGGAGCTGCCCCGAGCAGTGGGAAGGGGTCACAGACCCCCCGGGCATCGGGGGTGGGGGTCGTGCCAACCCTGGATGGACAAAACTGGGGACCCCTGAGTGGGGTGGGGTCAGATCCTCCCTCAGGCTGCTGGAGAGGGGATGGAGCAGTGGTGGGGGGTGGTGGGGAGACACTGTGGGGTCCCAGCCCCCTGTAACTGGGGGTCCAACCTTACTGGGCTGTTCCCCTTGGGGAGTCCTGTTTGCCCGGTGATCCAGAGGAATGGGGGGTTTGGAGGTGCTGAGGTCTCTCCCCACTTTGGATAAGGCAGCAGATGCTCCAGGCACTGAAGCCCCCTCTGCATCCATGAAGCCCCTGAGCCCGTTCTCTCCCACAGAGGGGTCACAACACAGCCTTGGGTACTGGTAGTGGGTCAAGGTCCTCCCAGAGCCCCCGGGGTGGGGACCTGTGGTGCGTGGCCAGGTGCTGGACACCCACCCTGCCCTCCTCGGGCCCCTCTGTGCTCCTCGGGGGTGATCCTGGCGGGATGGGGTGCGCTGGGTCCCCCCAGGGCTGTGGGGCACCCTGAGGTGGGGAGGGAGCCCCGAGCAGGGACCTGCCACCCCCAGCCTTTCCTGGGGCACCAGTGCCCGCCAGAGGCATCAAATATTAACAGAGACAGCGGAGGAGCTGAAAATAACCCTCCTCCGAGGGATCTGACCCAGATCCGACCAGCCCCAAAGCTGGGCTGGACCCAGACCCGCGGGCAACGCTCTGCCGCGGCCGAATCCAGCCCCTTCCCCTCCTCCGGGCTGCTCTGCCCTCCTGATCCCACCTATATATCACCTATATATTATGCAAATGAGCTGTAAGGGCTTATTACGCAAACGGGAGGGGGCCGGCGCTGCCCGGCGCTGGGTGGTCCCCGGGGCCGCCCCCGACGGCTCAGAGCGGCCGGCGGGGATGGAGGGGGAAGCACCGGCGTCCTCCCGGGAGTCCGGGGGCTGCCAGGCAGCACTGCCCCGTCCCTCTCCTCTCCTGTAGCACAGAGGGAACCCCGAGCCGGGCCAGGCACCTGCCCCACTCCAGCGCTCGTCCCCCCGGGGCGGCCGGCGGGTCCCAGCGGGATGGGGAAGCATAACAGCAAACTGCGCCCGGAGATGCTCCAGGACCTGCGGGAAAACACCGAGTTCTCCGACCTGGAGCTGCAGGGCTGGTACAAGGGTTTCCTGAAGGACTGTCCCTCGGGCATCCTCAACGTGGAGGAGTTCAAGAAGATCTATGCCAACTTCTTCCCCTACGGCGACGCCTCCAAGTTCGCCGAGCACGTCTTCCGCACCTTCGACACCAACGGCGACGGCACCATCGACTTCCGAGAGTTCATCATCGCCCTGAGCGTCACCTCCCGCGGGAAGCTGGAGCAGAAGCTCATGTGGGCCTTCAGCATGTACGACCTGGATGGCAACGGCTACATCAGCCGGGAGGAGATGCTGGAGATCGTGCAGGTAACGGGATCCCCCGCTGCGGCTCCTCCTGCGTGGTCCTGGGTGTCACCCCGGTGTCACGGTGGCTGTCCCCTCCCCGGGATGGGGACATGCATCCTGTGGTACCTCCAGCACAGGGCTTGGTAGTGCCTGGGATGGAGCCTGTTGCTGTCTGCAGCTGTGGCAGCAAGGATCACTCTAACCCAGAGTTCCTTCCCTGTCCTGGGGACATCCCTTTGTTACCCCTTCCCAGGACTCTTCCCATGCTTCCAGGGAGGGCTGGATAGATGGCAGCTGTCCCCAAGCACACCTGGTGGTGTTGGCAAAGGGACAGGAGATGCTCTCCTTGCCTTAACCCCAATCCCATGGCATGAGCATCAGTGGCATCTCCTCCCTGCAGAAGCATCTCCAGCCCTGGCTGAGCTGGGAGTTGAAACCCCCCCCAGCCCCATCCCATGGGAAAGGTGTTAAATGACATCACAATTCCCAGGGAAATGAAGCCCAGAGCTGTCCCTGTCTCAGGTGGGCAACGCCAGGTCCCTGCACCCACCCTCATCCCCATCTCCCTCTCCCAGGCCATCTACAAAATGGTCTCCTCCGTGATGAACATGCCTGAAGACGAATCGACCCCGGAGAAAAGAACGGAAAAAATCTTCCGACAGATGGATACTAATAACGACGGTAAATGAGAGGAGATGGAGGGGATTATGGAAAGGTCTCATGGATAAATCCGGGGGGGGTCTTAGAAGGAGCTGCACGCACGCTGATTAAATGGCTCATGTCCGTCGGTGTGGCCAGGGCAGCCGGAGGGGCTCAGGGTGCTGGGCACCCCAGGGTGCTCATCCCGGGTGGGTGGGTGTCCGTGGGATGTACTGGCAGCTCTCTGTTCCTGGGTGGTGGCCGCCAGGCTGAGCCGTGTCCCCTCCCCACAGGGAAGCTCTCGCTGGAGGAGTTCATCACAGGTGCCAAGAGCGACCCGTCCATCGTGCGCCTGCTGCAGTGTGACCCCAGCGGTGCCATGCAGTTCTGAGCCCCACGGACCCCCCACAGCCCCCCGCGGCCCCCCAAGGCACCCCCGACCCTGCAGCTGGCCACTGCCACCGTCCCTTGCCCGGCCCCCCGCGGTCCCCACCCTGTGCCCTCACAGCCCCCTCTGGGATGAGAGCTGGAGCCCGGCCGAGGCTGCAGTGAGGGGGAGCACAGGGGGATGGTCCCCGTCGCTGGGGAGGCTCCTGTGCTGGGGGGAAGGATGGAGGCAAGGTCTGCCCCGAGCAAGGATGGTCCCCCCAATGGCGGGGGGTCGGAGCAGGGGGACAGCCCAGGCCGGCAGGAAAGGCTGGCAGTGAAGCCACCGGTGCATCTCTGTCAGGTGTGGGGACACGGCCTGGCCCGGGGGACAAAGACCCGGTGGCTCGAGGACCACTCCCCTCACCCCCCCCCCCCCCGCATGCACACACTGCCACGGGCGTGGGCTGGGCCAGCCCCTTCCCCACGGCCGGCGCAGGGGTGGGAGCCGAGGAGGGGGGATGCGCTTCTGGTCTTTTAATACCTGCAGAATAAAGTTTATGTCAGTGCAGTCCGTGGTGGGAAAGGGGCCACCAACCCACAGGGGAAAGTTCTTCCTTGCAGGGTCTGGATCCAGCCCAGTTGCCCCCTCCACTGCAGCTCCAGGTGACCCAAGGCCATGGGGATGGGCTCATGTGTCCTGGCTGGCGGCGTCCAGGGGATGTGTCCATCCAATAGCTGGGCTGGGAAGAAGCTGAGTCCTGTCGTGGGGCTGTGTGGGTGCTGGGATGGGGCAGGAACGGCCAGGACTCATCCACAGGGTCATCCCTCAGGCCCTGCTCAGAGCTGGGCAGATTCCACGCTGTCCAACCTCAGCAAGCCCAGGCACTGCCTGGGGTCAGGGCTCTCCTCAGGAGCTGCCTGCAAGGAGACCTGCAAGCCAGAGAGGATGATGAAAATGAGACCAGTGGGATAAGGATGTTGGATCAGTCAGTCTTACCCTCATCCTGGAGCCCCTGAGCCCAGCCTGGCCCATCCCAGCCCTGCATGGGAGCAGGCTGGTGCTGAGCCCAGGAACCAGGGGTCACCTTCCTCCGGCGTGTCCCGCGGCAGCAGCGGCCCAGGCGGAGGAGCTCGAGGGCGAGCAGGAGGCACCGGATGCCAAAGATGATCTCCATCGACTCCAGCACAAGGGACACGGCCCAGAGGGACAGTGTGGAGCTCTGGGGGACATGGGACATCAGATCCCTGCAAATCCTCCCCATCCCCAGTGCACCCCCATCCATAACCCACTGGGCACTCACGTAGACGCGTGTGGGATCGAAGGGGCACTCAAGGGAGACCGGGGCAAGGGCGATGTTGGTGACGGCGCAGGGGGCCAGCAGTACCTGGCCCTGGTTGCCCAGGGTCAGTCCGATGGCAACAAGCAGCCCCAGCAGGCAGGACAGGCAGGCCAGGCTGCTGCAGGCGCTCAGGGTGAGAAGTGCCCATTTCTGCAGGAGGGAGAGAAGAGGCAGCAGGGCAAGGTAGGGTTGTGCACGGTCAACTGCCCACGTGTCCCTCCACGGGGACAGCCCCTGAGTGAGGGGATGTGGTGGCTGTGCCCACTCCACAGGAGGGTTGCAGCCTGCTGGGGGCTGAGTGAGGGGTGGGAGGCCAGGGGTGCTTACAAGGGTGGCGAGGGTGAGGTAGTGGGACAGCATGAGGGCAGCAATGCCACAGGAGATGGTCTGTGAGGAAGCACAGGGAGATCAGAGAGGCCCCAGCAACATTGGTCCCCTTTCCCTGCTGACATTGTCCCCGACAGCTCAACTAGCCGTTTTGGCACCACGGGGGCAGTGCTTCACCTCCCTCAGTAACAAGCCCCTGGGTGTTTAATTCCCTGGTTTTGCTCTGGAAAGGCTTGTTTGGAGCAGGGAAGGGGACACAGAGCAGGGAAGGGGACACACAGCAATCCATCCTGCATCCCACAGCAATCCATCCTGCATCCTACGTTCCTGCCCACCCTGCATCCACAGCACATCCATCCCAGATCCTCCTGCATCCCAGCTCCTGCCCAAACTGCATCCATGCCACACCCATCCCTCACCCCCACCGTGTGCCCCAGCCCTGCTGCCCGGGGTACCAGCAGGGCAGCGATGACGGAGGCGGTGTTGGCAGTGAGGTACTGCAGGGACACGGCGTCCCGGGGGGTCACCAGGAACCGCAGGACGGTGCCGTGGACGAGGGCCCCCGTGATGAAGTTGAGGTGCCCGATGATGAGGAGGATGAGGCCTGTTTTCATCAGCACCTTCTGGTGGCTGCTGGGATTGAGGTGTCCTGAGATAAGGGGAGAGGAGGGTGTGGGGTGGCCAGCACTGGGTTGTCCCTCCTGCCCTTGCACCACACTCAGCACAGGGACGGGGCATTTGGGGACAGCCCCAGAGGACGTGGCCCATGCTGGCGGGGGGATGAGGCAGGAGGTGATGTGGTGGAAGCCACTGGTAGCCCAGGTATGCAAACCACTGCTCCAGCCGGCTCTCCTGGGACCGGGGAGGTGGTGTGGGGCCAGCAGCCATTGGGGACAGAGGTCCCTGATGGGGTTGAGAAGGGCTGGGGCTCCCTGGAGTGACAAAGAAGCTCTGGGAGAGCAGCTGTCCCTGAGTGGCAGCTGCAGTGCTGGGTTCTGGCACCCGGTACTTTGAGGAGCAACTGTGGGGTTGTTCCTCCCTTGGAACCCCCCCTGAGGTTGCTCTCCTCACACACCCACCATCAGCTGGTGTTCAGCCCAGCTCCATCCCTGACCCCTTGGCTCCCTGCCCTCCCTCCCTGCCTCAGGAGGGCAGTGCTGGAGCCCTCCTGTCAGGATCACCACACCAGACCCAGACTCACCTCCTTGGCACATCTTCACTGGGCCAGGATCAGGCCATCAGAGACCCTCGATGCCCAAGGGGCCTGGCTCACCCTCAGCCCACAGGGAGACGGGTCCATCGGGGTCCAAATGCATCTGATCAGGACCAGGGTTGGGACTGGGCAGGACCAGGCAACCAGAGCCACTCACCTGCTGCACCCCACTGCTGCTCCAATTCCTGTCAGACCAGCTCCCTGGTGAACAAAGGGATAAACTCCACCTTCACCTGGATGTCCCACCCCTGCACTCCCCTTGCTGCCGAGCCAGGGGCCGTGCTGTGACATGCTGTGCCATGCCAGTACACCATGCCATGCTGTGCCAATACACCCTGTCACTCTGCCTCATCCCCTTCCCCATCCATTCCCCTCTCCCCAGCACGGTTAGGTTATTCTACCCTACAGCAATGGCAGCAGGCTGGGATCCAGCCAGGCAGGTCCAAGGCCAGGGGCTGAGGGTCTGGGAAGAGGCAGCCCCTCAGGCTGGGACACTGCCAGATCATGGGGCACTGGCCAACACTGCCAGGTACCAGGGACTGACCTGCAGAGAGAGGGCAAAGCAGTGGGGTCAGGGCAGGTGGTGACTTCCCAGAGGGTGACTCAGAGGAACCAGTCTGGTGGCCATCGCCCTCATGAAGCTTCCAGGGAAGTTACTGATAGCAGGAGACAGGGAGAGGGATGGGGACAAGGGCTTGCTGAGGTGGCTGCAGGAAGAGCACTCTGCTCACACCAGGGAGGTGCTGTGGGGACCCTCCCTCGCTGGTGGGACACCCTCACTAATCTCTCTGCAAAGCTTGTTGCAGACACGAGGCATCAACAGCTTAATTACAGGGACAACCCTGCTTCCTGGGAGCAGTCTGGGGAAGGGCCTGGTGCAGGCAGAGGATCAAAAACAGTATCCCCAATATCCCACCTGAGTTATCACTCTCAGCCTCCTCAGCTCCCATACATGCAGCTGTGCTGGGAATTTGGCTTTAGTCCCCATCTTTCCCCTCCTTTACCCTGTATCCAGCCCTGCTGCATATGGAGAGGGAGAAGAGAGAATTCTCCTCTTCCCAAGCCTTTGGGAACAATGTTCACTAATGCCTGAGCCAAGGGCAAAGGCAGCTGGAGGATTTCCCCATAGCTTTGGAAAGGATGAGACGGACGCAAGTCGAATGACAACCAGAGTCTTTATTTATTCCAAGAGTCCCTTAGGATGGTTGCAGACATACAGACACACGTACATATTTACACTCTTACACACCTCACAGACTTTGAACCAATAAATTAAAACAAAAAGACGGCAGGGGATTTCTTTTTTTGTTTGTTTGTGGTTTTTTTCCTCCTTTCCTTTCCTTTTTATGTCACGTAAGAAACAGCAACTTCCCGAGGCGAGGCTGGGGAACCAGCTGGAGAATGGCAAACAGGAGCCAACAGGGACACAAGCCCGGCCCAAGAGACGCAGTGACAGCGGGTGTGCTGCCAGCAGGAGGACACGTCACACTCTGGCCTCGATGCACTCCAGTTGGACCATTTCATCCAGCCGGCAGCCCTCGGCTTGGGCACAGTGGCTCAGGTGGGCACTTGGGCTCTCGGCACCTCTAGCTTTGGGGGTCTGTGGGCAGCCTGCTGCAGTCTGAGAGTGGGGGGAGTCGCACTCGTCCGAGGTAATGTCCGGCACGTCGTCCGACTGGCTGTCGGAGCTCTCCAGGTCGCTCCGTATGCTCTCGGGCTGGGCCAGGGTGATGTCCCAGGTCTGGCTGGCAATGCAGTCCTTTTGCTCACAGTTTTGGTGTTTGCACGTCTGCTCCTGCTCACCGTCCTCTTCCTCCTCCTCCTCCTCCTCCTCTTCCTCATTCTCTGCCATTTGGGTGTGGACATGCAGAGAGTCCTCTGTGCTGCTGCCGCTGGCCAGCTGGTAGTGACTGGGTTTGGCTTCGATGTCCACCTGGATCTCCATGTTATTGCACTCCCTGCAGGAACAAGCACCCTGGCATTACTGGGAACGGTTACTGGGTTCAACCGGGCACTGCTGGGCACTGCACCAACTGAACTGGGAGGATCACACTTCCCAAACATGAGCCAGATGCTGCTCATCACCCCTTGGCATGAGAGGAACAACAACACTCGCTGCTCTTGAGTTCTCCCAAAAGCAGCCAAGATCTGAGCCAGGAGCTGAGCTGGGAAAGCTCCAGAGTCCCCACGAGCTGCCAGGAACAGACCTTGAGGGTGCTGGGATGCAGATCCCCTCCTCAGGCTCCACACCACACACGGAGGCTGCTCCCAAATTGTCCCCAGTCCTCCTCCTGTGCCAGCAAAAGGACTGATCCGCTTGCCAGCGGCAGAAGAGCAGCCTGGTGCAACTACAGTCATCCCACCACCCACAGCAGAGCTCACAGAGCACAGATTTTTCCAGGACACCCACTACCAGTGCTCTTCTCACCATTCCATGTCCTCCTACCTGTCCTGGGGGTTGTAGGAGCTGATGATGGAACCAGCCATGGCTCGAGTGCTGGCGTTGTCACTGATCGCCCCCAAACTGACCGAGTCTTTGGGGAAAATCTCCTTCTGGACATCTGCCTGAACTTCCAGCCTGCAGGAAAGAGAAGGATTCCTTAGAAATGCTTTAGACATCCCTGAGGAGCACTAATCAGTCACTGCTCTTCACAGGAAAGCGAGAGGCCCTACGTGCTGGCACAGCTC